CTTTTAGCATAAAAAATATTTACCATATTTTCAATACTGAAGATATCTAGATTATTAAACACTAGTCTAGATAGAATCAGTATTTGATTACGTGTAATAAGATAAGGTGTTTAAGATCAAATTGTATTGTAATATGTTAAGTTTTATTGAAATGTATGACTCTGTAAAAAAGATTATATGTATGGACACGTGAACTGTAAATGATCAAGTTGCTGATGATGTCCCCAGTAAGGGACGAAACGTATAGTTCAAATTAATTGTTCATAAGATTTATTAACCGTCTATAACTCCCTTTGAGACTTATATATTAATTATTATTTATTTTTTATCAATATAATATAAAAACATTCGTACGTTCGATATATATTTAATAAAACAAATAACAATCCTTTTGTTTCAAGACAACATATTATTAACAAATTACGAGTCAATAAGAAAAAATACATCGAAACAAAAGAATAATGTTTAAAAAGAAAATGAAGATAAATTCGTGGCAGAGTAAGTAAACTTTGGTAAGAAAAATCACAAATGTTTTGTTGTTCGATTTCAGGACCATCGTTTTGGGGTCTGATCAATCCACAATGGTCCCTGTGCAGCAAAGGAAGACGACAAAGTCCCATCAATATCGAACCCGACAAGCTCCTTTTTGACCCACACTTGAGACCGGTGCATGTCGATAAGCACAAGGTAAAGTATCCAAGAAAAGTTTTACGTTTTCTTTCACGCGAGTTTAAATAAAATCGAGCAACATCATTAGGGTGTGTCCCTTTTTCGATCTATTGGTAAGAGAGACGGATTGACTACCACTTTTCTTATTTTACTTTCTTTCCTCCTTAACTCGTTTCGACGTTGGTGACTTTAGAAAAAAAAAAAAAAAAAAGAAAAAAAAACAGGAAAAGAAGGATTCGAAAGTCTTAGCTTCTTGGTATCATTCTCCTTTCTCTTTTATCTTTTTATTTCTGGTTCTTATTAGATCTCTCCGTCTTACTCACAATTTCAAGACCCGTTTCAAATGAAGATGAAAGAGCCAACGGATGGATGCTCGTTACTCGAAAAATTTCTCTCTCTCTCTTTTTCTGTTTCAGTCTATCCGTTGGACTAAAATAAATAAGTTCTTTTTATTTTTTTTTCTTTCTACCTCCCCATCCAAAGTTTATTCTATCAGAGAGTATCCTTCAACGTCGCAAACTTATTTACAACGGCAAGTGAACGTATGACGTAAATTCATCCCCTCTCTACCCCCCTACCCCTATGCGGCTTCTATGATCGTTAAAAGAAATTCAATTACAAGGAATAAGGATACTGTAAAGGGGGTAAATAAAAGAAAAAAAAAAAAAGAGAAAAAAAATAATTCATTATTTATTAAATAGAGGTAAGAAGAGTAATAAGTTTGTCATGACAGAATTGATAGAGAAAAAGATGAGAGGAAATTTCTTTAAAAATATTTGAGTATTTGTGTATGTACGAGAAACGAACGAACGAAGGAACGTAGGAACGAATGAACGAACGAAACCGTCGTCCTTGAGTTAACGAAAATTTAAACGAGACCGTCTTCGGGCTAGCTTTTCCAACGAGCTATAACTCGTTTACTTAAACTTTAAATGGCTCAGCCAAAATTGCCGTACTCCGTGGCTTGATTAAACGATACACAAAATGGCTAAGTTATCCAACATCTAAGGAGAAGAGAGAAAGAGAAATTGGTTGTTCTTAGCATCTCTCTTCTTCTATCTTACTAACAAAATATATTCCTTTTTGAGGATTCTCAATCGATCGATAAACCATTATTCTCTCTCTCTCTCTTTCTCTCTTTCTCTTTCTTTTTCTTTTTCTCGCAAGACTATACAACCTGTTCCTTAATTTTAAATTTCATTTAAATCCAATTTGCGTTGCATTTAATTATTCATTCAAATTATTAACTAATCAATTATATTTAATATTTTAATGACATTTTCTCTTAATTATCTTTTTTTTTTTTCTATTTTATTTCTTTTTCCTTCTATTTTTTTTTTTAATAATCGAATAAAGTATAAAATATAAAATAAAATAAATAATTAACAAATATATTATATAGTTAAAATGTATGGTGTCGTAAGTATTTATCGGATATATTAATAAAAAAATAATTAATTGACGTCAATCTTAACTAAGAAACTTTAGAAAACTATCAAAACTTTCTTAATCTAATTATAATGCATGTATACGTAATGCAATAGACGTAAATGAAAAGTTTTTTTCTGAAAGAAAGAGAAAAGAAACTTTATTAGAGAATATCTACTGAAATGATTTACTCTTACTAATTAAAGATTTAATTGTTGATTTAAAATAGAGTGAAAACACGAAAAAGAAAAAAAAAAAGGAGAAGAATAATTACATTTATTTGGTCAGTATTTTTTCAACATTTTTCTTCGGTATTGTATAAAATAAATAATCGGTATTTATAATAGAGGAATAGTTGCATCAAGGGGTAGGGTGGTACACATTAACACTGACTACTCAATTTACAATATTAATTAAAAATTATCAAACAAGTGTGATCCAATAAATCTAAGCTTAGAATATATCATTAACATATTGATTCAATGAAAAATGAATTCAAGTAGTACAAATAGTATCTATAATATAAATATATTTAATAAAATAAGTTTATTTTAGAAATCTATTAAATAAAACAATACTCGGCAAATATTTAAAAAAAAAATACTTATTCAATTAAAATATGAATTTAATATTTAACATAATAAATTGAATTTATCAGAAATCTATTAAATAACAACTTTCGATAAAGATCTAACCTTTTCTTTTTGAAAAAAAAAAGAAAAAAAAAACAAGAAAAGAAAAGATCAAACAATATAAAATATTTCAAAATTAGAATGATATTACTCGTCGACTTGAAATATCTGGAATTTCCATCAGAAATGTTCCATCCTGTATAATTCTTTCCGCGAGCGTTCCTCTCTCAAAATCACTGCTACGACATTCGAAGAAGATTAAAGCACCTACGAAGTGGAAGAACAAGATTCACGAACGAGGACACGTCTCCCTCGGCGACGGCACATTTCTTCACACCCTCCCCCCCCCCCCCGCCCCCTCCCTCTTTTCACCTCCCTATTTCTCTCTCTTTCTATCTAACTATCTATCTATCTATCTATCTATCTATCTATCTATCTATCCATATATCTGACTATTTCTCTTTCACGATTTTCTCAACGATTGCAAACTCGATGAGGGAATCGCTTAGTCGACGAAATTGTTTCGGTTTTTGGGCCTTACTATTACTATAGTATTTCGCTGACAAAATTCCGTTCCATTCCGTTCCGTTCCGTTCCGTTCCGTTCGACGAGATTACTTTATCAACAGGTCGTTTCAACGTTCAACGCAAATCCGCTGTGATCTCGCTGACCAAGCGTTAAATGGTATAGATATATAGACATAGTTTTTACACTACACTCTGGCCCTATTGTAATTATACCCAGTCTCTGACTGTAAATTTTCGTTAAATCTATCTTTTTTTCTCTGTCTCTATCTCTCTCTTTTATTCTATCGTTTTTGTTTGCTCTTCATCAAATAATTGCGCCAACGTGCAAATATTTTTAACTTAACTACACATCCGTACAATCGAATCCAACCAAAATGTAAAACATATTTTTCAAGTTGTTTTTATTAAGGATCAATCATTTTTTTTAAATTATCATTAAGTTCGCTAAACAAAAGAAATTAAACGAAAAATCCTGTTTGTCTGTCTGTCTGTCTGTCTGTTTGTCTTTCTCTCTCTTTTTTTTTATTCTCGTTTCTGTTTGCTTTTCATTAAATAATTCGAAAACGTGCGCAAATATTTTTAATCCAACCCCCATCTAATCCAAGCAATCGAATATAACGATAACGTAAAACATATTATTAAATTTTTAATGTGACTGATCATTTTTGAAAATGATCATTCCGTTCGTTTAAAAAAAAAAAACGAAGTAAAACAAAATTCTGCTCGTCTTTATCCAATTTTACTCTCGTCTTCTTTTTTTTGTTTCTTTTAATCAAACAATTCGCAACCGTGTAAATATTTCTGATCCAACCTAAAATCGGACCAATCAAATATAATGAAAACGGAATTATTAACGTGATTTTTAATGAAAAAAAATTAAAAAAAAAAAAACAAGCAAATCGTTTATAAATTTACAATAACAATGTTACAACACGATTGGAAAAAGATTTCAAAACTAATATTTATCATATTTTTAATAAAACGATCACTCTCCTTCGAAAAGAAAAAGAAAAAACCAACACGAAAAGAAAAGAAAAGAAATTAAGAAAAAAGAAAATCCTATTTTTAACAAAAAATTTCACTCTACGTAAATCCCCGGAATCATTGATATAATTATAACCCCAGATTATATACTCGCATGCATACCTGTTACACGATATAACTATACGTATAATATAATGAAAATAAAATGACAATTAATAATTGTAATGAACAAGAACGATGATAGGAACGGATGTGATGGAAAAAGGTATAGATAAATGAATTTACGGATGTGTATATAATATATTGATATGTATAAGTATCGCGAGAACAAGTTAATGGATTTCAAATCACCAAGGGAGCTTTTTTGTGCTTCACGTTTTTCGCGGTTCTCACTGTTAATTCGATAATAATACCATTAATTACGAGAACGCGTCTGTTTAACGGACCGTTTCACAACCCTCTATCTCTCTCTCTCTCTTTTTCTCTTTCTATCGATCTATTCCTCTCTTTCTCTCTCTCTTTCATCGTTCAACCAATAGTAATACCAACGAATCTCGTAAAAGCAGCAATCTTCCATTGGGTAAACATGTATTCGATCCCTTTCATTCTTGTACTGATATCAAACTACGTACACTTAAGGATTCATTGATTACGAATGCAATGAATTTGACCACCAAGTCGTTTCAAATGAATTACATTTATTATACACAATGTTTCCAACGTATTCTTTAAATTCGCGATAACATATAGAACTCGATTAGTCAAGTAGACTTTAAACTTTTATTCGACGAAATCTAGGAAACCAAAAAATGTGCGTGATCTTCATGCACGATATTAAAAATGAAACACTCGTATTTGTCAATGTGCTGGAAATAAATTAATTAATTCATTTATACTATATAAAATATTTTATATATTAATAAATATGTTTAACAGAGGGAAATCACTTGAAAAAAAAAAAAAAAAGAAAAACTTCGTATAAACGAAACACACACACACACAAAAAAAACAGGAAAAAATTGTGAGCACGCGTGACTCGGAATTTAACTCTCCCTTTCTTCGACGAATTATAGTGCAAAAAAAAAACAAAACAAAAAGAAGAAGTACACAACATCGACAATCGAATTGCAAATTTACCCCTTTCCTCGAAAGTCGGGAAAAAAAACCGGATGACACAGAAAAAAGCAAAAAGAAAAAAAGAAAATGATTCGAAAGCGTTCCAGGTGGGTGGAGGGGGGTAGGGGTAGGAGTGAAGGGGAGGGACGGCGGGGGCTTAATACCGCGATGAAAACCGCAGTGACGTCACACCTGTTCCCGCGCTATTTAATCGCGGTTTCAACGCCGCTTCCAGATCGGCACCATACCGGATTGTAAGTGAGAAAGAGAGATAGAGAGATAGATAGAGAGAGAGAGAGAGAGAGAAAGAGAGATAAAGAAAGATAGAGAA